CCGTCAGTCTTTCAATTTCCTTCAGTGCCCACTGGCAGAGCATGCAGGTACTTTAGCTTGAAACCAGTCTTCATCAATTCATATGGCATGCTATTTTTGATTAAATAATGTCCTAAATATGTCCAGATATACAAAGTTTTAATGGAGAAATATGTCTGAATCTATCTGTATTTTCTTTTCACATTATAAAAAATAAATTAATAGCAAGATAAATTCTTAAAACGTGTTAATGTATTCTAATGTAGTACCCTGTTAATTTTAAGATGCCTTATTACTCATGTTACTCATTAAAATTATACAAATGTATTTAATAATCAGATTAAATAAATACTTAAATTGTTTCAGGCCTCCATGTGAATATTGCACAATGTTTAATTTAATTGACCCTAGAATGATGTATGTAAATAAAAATTAGTTTACGATTTGACAACTGTATTATGTTTCATTTAATTGACCCTAGAATGAAGGATGTAAATAAAAATAAGTTTATGATTTGACACCCGTATTATAGACAGTTCTCAGCATACTCAAAATTAGGGGTAATCACAATTATTTTACCATATTTACAGTCCTAATGTAAATTTAAATGACTGAAATAAGTTTTTTTTTTTAAATCCTTTTTCAATAGAATTGGCCCAGACGTCTGCAGTGTCAAGTGAAGGAAGCTCCTCTCATAAGATTGCAAACTGTGAGTCTGATGACACTGAGTGTGAGTGATGGAAGCCCTTCGAGAAAGGAGCAGAATGCTGAAGATGACGCCAGAATTGTGAGTCTGTCATTTATATGTTATTCTATGTGCAATACAAATTTAAAACGCACAAATGAATATGAAAAATTAAAGTTGAACTGGGCAGGCACACAATATCAGCTTATGTTCACACCTGGAATTTACTAATTATTAATTTAAGATATCAAACTGCAAAAAGATAAATGGTTAGTTGACCCAAAACAATCTACACAACTACCACTTTGATACTTGAAGTTCATAAAGAGATCATAAAACTAATCCAAATGAATCGAGCGGTTTAGTCCAAATTTTCTGAAGAGACTCGATCGCTTTACAATGAACAAATTGAATTTTTCTTCTCACATTTAAACATTGATCAGGGAACATAAACAGAAAAACTGAAAATTTGGACTAAACCACGATACGTATGAATTAGTTCTCTTTATGGATCAGATCTCTTTATGAAGTATCAAAGTGGTAGTTGCTTGGACCATTATTCAAGGGACAGAAAACTTATATTCTAATATCTTCAATTGTGTTTCAAAGATAACAAAAGTCTTGGCTGAGTAAACGATGAAATTTTTATTTTTGAACTAAGCCTGTAATAAAAGAATGTGGCCATATGTGTCACCCAAGATGCATGCTAATGCCAGGTGTGAACAGAGCCGCTGTGTGACTACACAATCAGCTTAGCAGAATGGCTCCTGAGAGAGATATTGTTGTCATTGATTGTTTTTTTCTTTTCAAGAAGCCAAGTTCCTGGCTTCTCTCAAGACCTTCAAGGACCCAATTGACCTCGGAATCAGCTGTAAAGGAGGATGAAACCGATGTCTAAGGTTAGACTATATTTCAGAATAAGATTATCTATATTAATGCTTTATCTATATTCTGTGTTCATGCATTTTTTTGCTAAAGTTGTCATATCTGTTATTTAGAATGGGACAGCGATATTGCATCAATTGGTCTCCTACTTCATTTGATTCCACCATCACCACAAGGCTGCAAGGGACCTGGAAACATGTCCTCCTATCAAGCTGAAAAACATCTTCAAAAAGGTACATTTGGACATTTCTGTCACTAACTATTGTCTGCCTCAAAATATTGCCAGATGGGCTGTATATGAAAGACTAATGTAAATAAAATCAGTTGGAGAGCTGACCTTGAGTGTTATTTTTGTCTTTGATCTGCAGGCACCAACAAGAAGAACAGCTTGATTGCATAGAAGAGACCACACAGCCATACCTGCTCACTGATGGGACAACGAGGAACATCATTCATGGATGCTACACAACTGTCAAATCTACCTGTCATATTTGTTCATGTCCAGGTAAATTTGATGATTTTGTGTTTTATTAACTATTTTATGTTTCTGTGCAACACTTAATGAATGTGACTAATTAACCTCTACACATCTGATATATGGTTTAAAGTTGCCACTTTGCCCATTTGTTAAATGTTGAGATGTATACATCTGTCTGAAGACTCTTGATTTTATGTCTAATCTTGTACATTAACACCATACAATAGCATTTTTTTGTTTGCACTGAAAAGAATACTTTATTAATAACACTTAAAGGATTAAAACAACACCAGGGGTGTTAAATACCCCATAGTGTAAAATATCTTCAAAAAGGTACATTTGGACATTTCTGTCACTACCTATTGTCTGCCTCAAAATATTGCCAGATGGGTTGTATATGAAAGACTAATGTAAATAAAATCAGTTGGAGAGCTGACCTTGAGTGTTATTTTTGTCTTTGATCTGCAGGCACCAACAAGAAGAACATCTTGATTGCATAGAAGAGACCACACAGCCATACCTGCTCGCTGATGGGACAACGAGGAACATCATTCATGGATGCTACACAACTGTCAAATCTACCTGTCATATTTGTTCATGTCTAGGTAAATTTGATGATTTTGTGTTTTATTAACTATTTTATGTGCAACACTTAATGAATGTGACCTGACTACTTAACCTCTACACATCTGATATATGGTTTAAAGTTGCCACTTTGCCCATTTGTTAAATGTTGAGATGTATACATCTGTCTGAAGACTCTTGATTTTATGTCTAATCTTGTACATTAACACCATACAATAGCATTTTTTTGTTTGCACTGAAAAGAATACTTTATTAATAACACTTAAAGCATTAAAACAACACCGGGGGCCTCATTTATGAAATGTTGCGTATAATCAGTCTTAAATTTGTTCTAGGATAATTTCTCAAAAGTGCATAAGTGCGATTCAGAGAAAACGAACCTGCGCACAAAAACACATGCGTACGCCTCTCTTCCAGATGTGACGTTTATAAATCACACATGAGCTTGAAATTGTGCGCAGGTGACAGGTGTCAGATCTCCGCCTTATAAACGCCCCCTAATTAATATCATTACCATATAAAAGAGCACACGCCAATATCCGAATTTCTATGCTTTAGAATGATGAGCACAAAGAAAAATAAAAACTTTACTGAGTCTGAAATTGAGGTCCTGCTGGCGGAGGTAGAGAGGTTCGT